TTCCAGCTACTTGGAAGACTGAGGCGGAAGGATCGCCAGAGCCCAGTAGGTCGAGGCTGCAGTGGCCGTGAGCGTGCCACTGCACTCCAGCCTGGGCAATAGAGTGAGACTCCAACTCAAAAAACAAGCAAACAAATAAGTAAAGTGAATACTAATTCAATGGCTTTTAGTATATTCTAGTTGTGCAACCATCATCACCATTTTTGAACATTCTCATCAGTCTCCCACCTCCCCCGAAGAAAGCATATTTCCTGTAGCCACTGTTCCCTAACTCCCCATGCCCCAAGCCTAGGCCACTGCCAATTTGCTCCCCCATTCTCTGGCTTACCTATTTAAGACAGTTCATATGAGTGGACTCACAATAGCATGTGATGCTTTGTGATTGTCTTCTTTCACTCAGCAAAATGTTTTCAAGGCTCATCCATGTTGCATGTAACAGTACTTCATTCCTTTTTATGAATGATTAGATAAACATTTTATTATCCATTCATCAGCTGAAGAACATATGGGTTGCTTCAAACTTTTGGCTGTTATAAATAATGCTGCTACAAATGGTTGTGTACATGTTTCTGTGTGGACGTATGTTTTCATTTTTAAGAAAGAAATGTTTATTTAAAAGTAAATTAGAGAAAGAGAAGGGAGAGAGATTTACCTTCCCAAGGTGGGGGAAGGGGCCAAAGCCAGGAAGCATGGCCACCGTCATAGCTCAAAGAGCACATAGCCACAGCAGAGTCTAAAAAGGCAATGGCCACTGGTTGCTTGTGGTTGAGTTATTTTAACCATTCCCCTTGAAGGAGAAAGATCATTAAGGTGATTGGGTGGTGGTCCGCTCCACGTCATTGCAAAGGGGCAGGCGAGCACAGGTACTGACATCAGGTGATGGACAGCAGGCAGATGGGTGGGTTAGTCACGTGATTGCTACCATGGTGAGGTTTATCTGTGTCTTGTAGGTCACAAACGGCTGATTAGGTTAACTTGGGGAGTTTGGGCCTGGAAGGTTTTTTCCCTGCAAGAGACTTGTTAGACATTTGCAATTTACAAACTCCTTGACCAAAGGTGGCAGTATTATCACTTTTATGACTTTGACCAGCCAAAGGGTGATCTTTGATCTTCAGCCTTGACAAAGGAACCTAAAAGTTTACTAGAGGTTATGATGTTAAACCATGAATTGAAAGGTTGGGCTGTCCTGGTTTTGCATATGAGGGAAATTTGCCCCGGGGGCATGGGACAGGCTGTTGCTTGTCCTGCAATAGTGTCTGAACACGTTCTAATGGTCATGCTGAGGCAAAAAGACTAAACTAAGAATGAGCTAAGTTTCTTCTAGTTTAGGAACCATCTTTCATTCCCACCTCTTGCTATTTTTAAAATATTCTTACTTATACCTGGGAACAGGGACAAAGATTAGGCTTCTGTAGCTACTTCCTGCTGTACATGGGGCATAGAGCTGTCCCTACCTGTCTAGAGCAAGAGGAGGGGATGAGAGGATAGGAGCCCATGGCGTTAAGGATTTTCAGTATTTGTATCCAAAGTATTGACTATAAGAATTAATATTATTATAGTAAAGTCCATTATAGTCACTGTTATAACATAGCAAGTTTTGATGTTTAATAAAATGTATTTACAGTCACCCCAGTGGGTTGATACCAGTTACAGGAGTCCAGGCAGTTCTCACTGTTGCACCAGTAAATTCCTGAGTCCATATGTAGACTTCCATCCCCGCAGCTTGTCTTTTAGTCTTTTTGGGTCGTGATAAGAATTTATAGACAGTTATAAGGAGTTTTGTTAATAACTTAAACAAGGAAATACAGTTACTTTGACAAAGTTCGAAGAAAACTTTAAAACATTAGCAACATGTAGTTAGGTTGTAGCTTAAACTGAGAATTTAAAACAGGTAAACATTGGCAAGAGAAAACAGTGTCCTCTGTTTTATAATAGGTCTGATGTACCTTTATAACGATTGATATGCTAGAGGGTGAAGCCCAGGTAACCTCTATGTCAGCAAGATGAGAGATTGACATTTTCCCACTTTTGATGAGAGGAGTGGGATGATATGGGCCTTCTGACAAGGAAATATTACCTTAAATAAAGTTTAACAAAAATAATGTAATCTTTGTGCCTAGACGGAGATTCCAAAGTCATTAGTAATTTGGCACTGAAAAGCACTATAGCTTCTGTGAGCGAAATCAATCTACCTGGTCTTCAGTTAGCTCGGGAGGGTGCAGGGCAGATGTGGCTTCTGGGGCTTGTTTCTTATCTCACCCTAGAGAGACTGAATGGAGAAATTGAAGATTTTAAGTATTAAAAATTTTAAAAGCATAATGTTATATAACACAAGATTACAGTAGTTATTGTAAAAGTTACTTATTTAGCCAAAGTGATAGTCCAAAGAGTTTGAAAAGGAAAAAAAACCCTCACTTTTTTTGTAACAAAGTTGGTGAGGGAGGGCTAATAGAATTTTGTTTCTTCCTTTCCCCCTCCCCCTGTTGTTTAAAGGAGAAAATTATTTTGCTTAAGGCTATATTTCAACATGGATGGCCAGGACCAAAAGACTAGCACTTGCATTAAGTTAAGAAATTAATTTGGGTTCCAGCACCCTAATATTTACCTAGGGGGGGTGTTGGGGTGATGGTGAGCCAGTGCCAGTCAGTTTAGCAGATTTGTAGACCTCTATGAGTGGCCACCATTTGTGAGCCAAGTGCTTTCTCCTCTCTTCAGAAGAGAGTATATCTGCTTCCTAATGGCTTTCTGGCCTGCACAGTGGACAAGGTCCAGGAGGTTAAGGCCTTTTGGGGGCAACTATGCTTTCAGTTCCCCCAGAGTGTACCCATAAGCAATGGGCACCATCCCTTTAGCAAGTTTGCTCTTACCAGGTGTCTGATGGGCAGTTGGAGTTTTGTCATTAACAGTGATTGCCAATTAGGGTGTCTCTTTGGCCCTTTGGTTCTGCAGCCTTCCATGTTGGCACTGTTTCTTAATATTTTGGTTGAAAAAACCTTAAAAGCTCATTTTTAATAAGTTATACATGTGAAACTTTATAACCATTTCTCTGTAACAATCTGATGTAAAGTTCTTTAGAGTGAACAGACCACATGGATGTGTAATAAACTGTCCCTACTTATTTATAATTATGAACAGGCAAAGTTATTAAAAAACTCTTATGAATTACTAAACTGTAGTCTTAGTTGTAAGGTGTGGACAATAAGGTGAGAGTGATTAGTTCCCATCCTTAATGTGCTCACACAGAGTACCCAGTATTTTATTTCTGGCAGGAGAAGTACTAGGCTTAGTAAAAGTGACTTAACCAGGTGGGAATAACCGGTTTTTAAACCTTATCATGTAACACAAGGTGTCTAGCATTTAAAGTTTTACCTTTCTTATAAGAGGGTGCTAGTTAGGCACAACAGGTGATTTAACCTTTTGTTTATAAAATACAACTTTAGTAAGCCTGATATAGTAAACAGTGGTCTTATTTTGCACTAACGTTAACCTATGGTAAAGTTGGAAGTAAAATTTTACTAGAGTACTTACAAGTTTGGTTGGAAAAACAGATTAAAATTACAATTGACCTTTTTTGTAGTTAGTTAATAGGATTAATTTACATGATCTCTTTACTTTCATCTGGGAGGGAAGGTTAATATAGTTCCAGTTTAAATTTAACTTGAGAGAGATTTATCATAAGAAAACAACAAACAAGAACTTTAATATCTTTTGTTCTGGCCACCCCTCCTCCCCCCAGAAGAGACCTGTTAAGCCATGTGGAAAGCTGAATGGGTTTCTCAAGTACATGTGGGAGTGGTGACTTGCAACAGCTAGTAGGGCTGCCACCAGGGGGTTATTAAGCAGTGGGCGGGAGGGAGGACAAGAAAGCTGGAGGCTGGGGTCAGGTGCTGTGGCCTTTGGCACTGGCCCTTCCTCTGCAGGTAAAAGAGAAGAGAGACTGGGGGCCAGGGCTAGGTGTCACGGCCGTAGATGCCAGCTCCCTCCCCTGCAGGTAAAGGTGGAGGGTAAGAAGGAAGAAAAGGAAGGGAAACTGATGGAGTGGAGTAGCAAAAGCAGATCACAAGAGACAGGAGTAGTTAAACCAGCTGGGTCAGCATTTGAGTTGTTAGAGGGAAAGCAGGAATCGGAGTTGTAAAAGAAATAGGAGAGTATGAAGGAGGTGAAAAATCTTTTGAGGGAGGGATGGCTCGGTCAGCAGAATCAGTATCCTCTATGGGCAATGAGGTCTGGGGAGCCAACACAGAAATATGGTAAGAGGAACAAATATCTGGGTGGCGAGCTAACGCATAAAAGGCTTAAATATATGGGAGTTCATTTCTTGTGAAGTATAAATCAAGCTGCAGGAGTGTCTTAGAAGTTAAGGAGCCACCTTCTGGCCCGTCATTCCTTCAGCTCATATTGTGGAATTTCCCTGTACTTGGTCACCAGATGAAAGGGTCAGCTGGGGCAAGGTGGACTGGAGTCGGTGCTGGGCCTGCAAAGTAGTAATAAAAGGAAACAGGGATCCAGCTGGGATGGGCTCTTGGTTTCATGGATTTGTTTCTGGGCCTTACCCATCCAGATCCTCTGACGGGCGTCCCCAACAGGTTCGAAGGAATCAGTACAAAGGATGTGAGTCACCAGGGAGAGAGCGCGTCCTCCTGTCCCCGTGCCCACTGGAGCTCATGGGTCGCTATGCTCCACCGTGTCTTGGAAGGCCTGGTACCAGGACTTTCAGCAATTGGAGCGCTATGAGGTATCTTCCAAGACAAGACCCGGAAAAGCCCGAGAGACCCAGAAAGTCACCCAAACCAAAGCCGGGGGAGGGGGTAAGAGCACGCATCTAAATATGTGGGTGTGTGGATGATAAATGAGGAATGACTTCCCGGAGACTCAGGAAGGCATACCATACAGCTATTGGCATCTCAAGGTCCTGCATGGAGTTACTTCGCCAGCCAGAGAAGAAAAGAGCAAAGAAACCAAGCACTTTGTCTCTCACCCGTGCAGGCATTGGCGGTCCGAACTTTCCTTCGGGGACATCTTGCCTCCCTAGGGAGTAGCCCTAGGCAGAGACCGTCAGTTGTCCTCTGAGATCCAGCTCGGTCTGCGGGAAAACTCAGAAATCTTGGCTAGAAGGAAGTAAAGAGTTAACCTTAGTCCCTTACCCTGTCGGGCCATAGCGGTCTGATGTCTTTCCTTGGGGCCTTCCAGCACACTGAAGTGTAGACTCAGCCAGAGCTTTCAGTTGCCACCAGGTTCCAACACAGTCCACCGAGGGTCACCAGTTAGGAAATGAGAGAGAGAGAGAGAGAGAGATAAAATCTCAGTGGGACCTCCAAAAATGTTAAGGTCCAGAGAGGGTAAGGCGGTGTGCTATAGGGATGAGGGAAGGTGCAGCACCAGTAACCCAGAGATCCAAGTAATGCAAAGAATTGCAATACAAAAAAGGTTAAGAAAGAAAGTTTATTTAAAGTAAATTAGAGAAGGAGAAGGGAGAGAGATTTATCTCCCCAAGGTGGGGGCGGGGCCAAAGCCAAGAAGCCTGGTGACAGCCATAGCTCAAAGAGCACATGGCCACACCAGAGTCAAGACAATGACCTGGATGTATGTTTTCATTTCTCTTGAGTGAATACCCAGAAGTGGAAGTGCTGGGTCAATTGGTAACTCTGTTTAACCTTTTGAGGAACTGCCAGACTGTTTTTTCCCCACCATTTTTACACTCTCACTAGCAGGGTATGAGCATTCTATTTCTTCACTTCCTCACCAACACTTGTTGTTATCTGGCCTTTTGGTGATAATCATCCTAGTGGGAAGGAGTATGCTGTTTGTCTCTTCTAAAACTCATGTTCAGACTTAATCCCCAATGTGAAGTGTTGAGAGGTGTAGTCTTTAAGAAGTGATAGGATGGGGGAGGACTCTGCCCTCATGAATGAATTAACTCATTCATGGATTAGTGAATTGATGGATTGGTGGGTTATCACAGGAGTGAGACACGTGGCTTTATAAGCAGGGGAAGAGAGACCTGAGCTAGCACGCTTAGCCCCCTCACCATGCGATGCCCTGTGTCATCTCAGGACTCTTCAGAGAGTCCCTACTATCAAGAAGGCCCTCACCAGATGTGGCCCCTTGACCTTGTATTTTTCAGCCTCCATAACTGTGAGCAATAAATTCCTTTTCTTTATAAATTACCTGGTTTCAGGTATTCTGTTGTGAGCAACAGAAAACAGACTTGCTGTACAAACAGCACCATTCCAATTCTAGAACATTCCATCAGTACAAATAGAAGCTCTGTACAGCTTAGTAGTTACTCTTCATCTCCCCACTCCAACCCCTAGCAGTCACTAATCTACTTTCTGTCTCTGTGGATTCTGGACATTTCATATAAGTGAAATCATATGCTATGTAATCTTTTGTGACTTGCTTCTTTCATTTAGTGTAATTTTTTATTTGTTTGTTTTGTTTTTTTGAGTTGGAGTCTCACTCTGTCACCTAGGCTCGAGTGCAGTGGCATGCTCACAGCTACTATAGCCTCGACCTACTGGGCTCAGGTGATCCTTGCGTCTCAGCCTTTTAAGTAGCAGGAATTACAGGTGCATACCACTATGCCCGGCTAATTTTTTGATTTATTGTAGAGATGAGGTCTCACCAAGTTGCCCAGGCTGGTCTCAAACCTGTGGACTCAGGCAATTCTCTTGCCTCAGCCTCCCAAAGTACGGGAATTACAGACTTGAGCCACCATGCCTGGTCTTGGTGTAATGTTTTTAAGATTCATCCATGCGGTAGCATGTACCAGTATTTCATTCCTTTTTATTCCTGGAAAATATAACATTGTACGGGCCTAGTGCTTTGAAAGCAACTGATATCCTTTCTCTTCCTTGCCTTCCCTGCCCAAGCAACTGTGTAGTAGCCTGACAACACGTGGCTCTTTCTAGTGGTTATAACAAATCTATTATTATGCAGAGCTAAGTTTGAATTATTTAGCAAAGGCTAAATAATGAATCTTGACTTTTTTTTTTTTGAGTTGGAGTCTCACTCTGTCGCCCAGACTGGAGTGCAGTGGCCGCTCCCAGCCACCACAGCCTCGACCTGCTGGGCTCCGGCGATCCTTCCGCCTCAGCCTTCCGAGTAGCTGGAATTACAGGCATGCGCTACCATGCCCGGCTGATTTTTTGATTTATTGTAGAGATGAGGTCTCGCCTGCCCAGGCGGGTCTCGAACCCGCGGGCTCAGGCAATCCACTCACCTCAGCCTCCCAAAGTGCGGGATTACAGGCTGAGCCACTGAGCCCAGCTGACTTGTTTTTTTTTAAATAGCCTGTTTATTTTGCTTAGGTGCCTTTGCAAATTTAAGAATATAACTTTATTGCAGGGCTTTTTTTGTTTTTTTAAAGAAAGAAAGTAATTTACATTGTTGCTTTAAAAATCTGTTGTTCTTTTGATCTGCAGAGTATCTTTTCTAGAAATCAATGCCTTTTCTGAAGGGAAGCGTTTTATTTGTAGAAAATCTGAGACTAAATTTGGAGGCATTAATTTTTTTAGGATTTGGAATATTCAATTAATGAAGATAACAACAGGTGACTAGGCTGAATTATCCATATTTATAAGGTGGTAACTAGTCATATAAAAGAACAAAGGAAGGAACGAAAATGATTTACTGCAAAATAATAGGATTTCAGTTAGGGGAAGTTTAATAAAGTTCAGAAGGTTCAAGTTTTATACCCATAGTTCAAATTGGTCATTAGTTTTCTTTTGATGCATTACAGTCAATTGGTTCTTTTTCTTAATTTATATTTAATCAATGTTTATGTGACACTACGAGGCAGGTATTTTATTTAGGATTTACAACAAATTTTGAGATAAGTCTTATTTTCCATATTTCTTTATCCCCCCCTGGGTAGGGCGGGAGGGGCCAGCGCCTTGGGGCTTCCGGCAGCAAGGGGGCAAGGACTTTAACGTGCCCCTCTCGTTTCACCGCTCACTCCTGGAGGCAAAGCAGCTTAGGCTGGAGTGGCCTTGGGCGACTGGGTGCTGATCATCGACAGCGAGAACAGCGGGGCATCCCAATCACATCGGAGCCCAGAACAAGATCCGGGCTTGTGGGGAGCGCCTCAGCCTGGGTCTTTGCAGGGCCCAGCCGGCTCAGAGCAAACTGCAGAAAGCTCTGGCCCCTGCAGCGGAGCCCGCGGGGTACATCTTTGCACCGAGCGCCTCCCTCAACAAGATGGCCTGGCCCTTCTGGGCTCCCCCATCCGCCGACAACGCCCCGCAGCAGAATGGACAGCGGCTCCTGCCGCTGGTCCCAGACACCAGCAAGCAGCAGCTGATAGAGAACACCCAGGACTGGCGACTGTGGCCCGGGACAGGCCTGTCGTGTTCCTTCTGCACCCTTGTTAACCTCACGGGCACCGAGTTCATGCAAGACCCGGATGAGGAGCACTTGAAAAAGTCCTGGGAAAAGTATGTCTTGGAGCTACAGAGCCCAAGCTACACCTGCCTCTGGGACTAGCACTGCCAGTGCTCTGCCCACGTGCTCAACGTGCAGTCGTAGCCCGGCCCGCTCCAGCCAGCTGCCCTCTCTGCATCCCTCTTCCTGTTTCTCCTGCCCAGGGACCCCCCTCAGTGCCTATAGCTTCTGCCTACCTCACCCACTTCTTTCCTGCCCCTGCCGAGCCTCCTGTTGGCCTGGTCCTGGCAGCCGCTTGGCACAGCGCCTGGCTTCATCTGACACTACCTTTCCTCTCTGTCCTGTGGTGCTGCCTGCCAGGTCTGTGCCACCCTGGGCATGGAAATAAATGCCCTAGGCCCTGCTTTAAAAAAAACCAGCAGTTGTTTCCTTACTCATGTAAAGTCCTCACTGTGTCTAACTGAGGCCTCAGGACAGCCCTTCTCCATAAGATGGTCCACTTGGTACCTTTATATCAATAGGTGCCTCCATGATCACCCAAGCAAGAGAGAATGCTGAGAGCCTTGCAGCAGTAAGTAATTTCAGCCAATTCTCATTGTTTGTGGTAGTTACGTTCCTTAAAGTAACCATGAACACTGAATTAGCAAATACTGAACCATTGCTCCTAGGGGAAATAAAGAGTTAGGTTCCTATGAGCCTCGGGTCACAATATTTCAGCAGCTACTCAATACATAACTTTTGTTTTATGTGTATTTCTATATAAAGATATTTAATATGAGCTGGGCTTGGTGGCTCAGCCTGTAATCCCGCGCCTTTGGGAGGCTGAGGTGAGTGGATTGCCTGAGCCCGCGGGTTCGAGACCCGCCTGGGCAGGCGAGACCTCATCTCTACAATAAATCAAAAAATCAGTCGGGCATGGTAGCACATGCCTGTAATTCCGGCTACTTGGAAGACTGAGGCAGAAGGATTGCTGGAGCCCAGCAGGTCGAGGCTGTGGTGGCTGGGAGCGGCCACTGCACTCCAGTCTGGGCGACACAGTGAGACTCCAACTCAAAAAAAAAAAAAAAGATATTTAATATGTATTGTTGATTCAGTAACATTGAGCTCATGACCAACAACATTATAACTCATGCCTGAACATAGTTTATCTAACACAAATTATCTTCTCTGTAAGGCACATCACATTCTTCTTGCACTTAGGGACACTAGACAGCACTTCAGCACTATACCTGAGGGTTATTTTACAAAACAAGTAAAAGCAGAACAATGCAAAAGAAAATTGGCACTGAATGGACTGTGAAATGGACATTGTTTTCAGTATGAGAGCTAACACAAGAAGACAGAGCTTTGCCTTATCTGACCTCAGTTGGAAATGCATGCTCTGGGCTATGTAAAATTTTCACTGCTCTGTGTATGCACATGTCTGTGAATGACTAGAAAGTGCTGTGAGTATTGATTTGGGGGTAACAAATATACATTGGCAGGTAGATGAATTTGCACATGTGCATTTGTGAGTTTGTGAATAACTGTAAATGCGTCTTGCAGTGAGTTCACATTAGTTGCTTCCATCCATGTTTCATGGACCAATGCAAGTCTCTAGGCCTTGATTAGCCTCAAGGGGGCGCAAAAGTGTAATCACCGTTTTCTCAAAGGAGAATCTGAAATATTTGAGAGAAGCACCGTCTATAATATTGTTTAGTCACTCACTGATTATTTATTCCATACATGTGGCAGATTTTTATTTCCCAAAGAAGGTTGCAACATTATCTCTAACATACTGTTCTTATAATGTGACTTTGACACACTTCCCACTGAGAGGTGGAAGTCTGTGCTCCTTTTCCTTGAAACTGGACAAGACTGTGACTACAGCAGAAGTAATACTGTGCGACTTCTGAAGCCAGATCAGTAAAGGCATCCACTTGTTTTCTTTGGGACACTTGCTCTTAGACCCCAACAGCCATGCTGAAGGAAAGCCCAAGCAACTTCACGGAGGGGCACTTGTAGATCACATGTGAGTTAGCAGGTGTTCAGTTGATTCCAGGTCCCTGCCAGTGAGTCACCTCCAGACTTCCTTAAATCTTTCCCACTGTGGTCTCAGGGGACACTAGCTACTCCTGCAGTACCTACAGAAACTGTGAGGATAATAAAATGGCTTGGGATAATACATTTTTTAGAAAGAGTAACTTGAAGAGTATTTACTCTGTATAGCCCTGTAGTAGGTGTTGGTGGGTTTTAGCAATGGATAAAATTTGGACTTGACCTTCACATGTCTTATTGCCAGGTTATCTTTTACTCTGGGGTCATTCATACACCCACAGCATAAATATCTGACGCTTTGTGTGTGTGTGTGTGTGTGTGTGTGTATGTGTGTGTGTGTGTGTGTGTGTTTCAGAGTCTCACTCTGTAGCCCAGACTGGAGTGCAGTGGTTATTCACAGGCACAATCATAGCTCACTACAGCCTTGAACTCCTATGCTCAAGGGATCCTTCCACCTCAGCCTCCTGGATAGCTGGATCTACAGGTGTGGACCACCACTCCTGTCTATCATACGGTCTTTTTCTAGTTATCACTGTCTCACATGTGATAACTGTAAAAATGGGTCGCAATTTGGCATTCCAACAAGAAATGCAGTCTTTTATTTCGGCCAACTTCTCCTTTAGTTTTGATGAGAATTATAATACTCATCCATTATTTAGACACAAAGCAACCCATGAAACCTCTTCTTATGCCGAGCACTTTGCTTAGTGCCTGCTCCATAATTGTGTAATAAATGTTGAATGAGTGTCACAGAATTTATCAGACACATAGTGATTGTGTTTTAGGAGCACCTGTGAACCACCTTTCTTTTGTGCTACAGAAAATGAAGAGACATTTATTGAATTGTGGGGTTGAGGATAAAAAAGCTAGTCTAAAGATGGAAGTGCTTTTAAAAAATTAAAACATTGATTTTTTTTAAGAATAGGGGTGCATATGCAGGTTTGTTACATGGGTTTATTGTGTGATGTTGAGGTTTGGGCTTCTATCGAACTTCCCATTACCCAAATAGTGAACATGGTACCCATGGATAGTTTTTCAAAGCTTATGCCCCTCACTATGCCTTCAGTGTCCGTTGTCCTCATTTTTATGTCCTTGTGTATCCAGGGCGAAACATCCATTTTAATCAGAGTGAGGTTTGATATGACTTCTGAGACGGTCGTTGGTGTTTATAAAAAAGAGGAGGGCTCGTATATACTTATAAAAGATTTTATTCTTTAAAGCAAAAAATAAGCAGCCACATATATTACAACTGGATAGCTCTCATTCTCAAGAATACTTTTAAAAAAAACTAATCCTTGATGCAGCTAAGATAAAAATGTTCTTATAATTCACTCAATTAAAAGCCATTTCCCATAAACTTAGGGTAGCTAAGTTGCCTTAAACTCTTAGATATGGTTTTTTTTACTGTTGCAGTAGAATTATTGCTTTTTTTTTGAGTCGATGTCTCACTCTGTCACCCGGCTGAAGTGCGGTGGCATGATCACGGCTCACTGCAGCCTCAACCTCCTGGGCTCAGGCAATCCTTCCACCTCATTCTCTCAAGTAGCTAAGACTAGAGGCATGTGCCACCATGCCCGGCTATTTTTTTATTTTTACAGAAATGAGGTCTAGCTATGTTGTCCAGGCCAGTCTTGAACTCCTGGATTCAAGCAATCCTCTCACCTCAGCCTCCCAAAGGACTGGGATTACAGGCATGAGCCACCACACCCAGCCTCTTTATTAAGATAAATTCGATAGGAATTGGTCTCTAAAAGTCATCTGTAGTTACTTTTAGAACAGAGGTATTAAAGTGATTCAACCTCCCACTATCCAGAAGAGAAGGCCCTCTGCCCCCGTCGTGCACTGTCCTATGAACTACTCAATTCTCAGCCTGCTTGTAAGTCCTGCATAAGGGTCTCCCCAGGTGGTTCTGCACCTGAGTGTCTGCATGTGCAGAATGAGATCCAGGCATGGGAGAGGTGAGCAACTGATTAAAAACCGGCTCCGAGTTGGAGAAAAGGCTTAGCAGGGTTGCCTGGGACATCGCGTCTTCTGGGTCAGTGCCCCTCAAGCTGTCTGTGATGAAAGACCTTTTATTTATTTATTTTTAAGTTTCCACTTCATTAGAAGCCCATATTGGATCCTACTGCACAAGGCTAATGCACATATCACGCTACAGGCCACTTAATCCACAATCTCTGCAGTCATTTATTTGGTCTATACCAAGATCAGTGAGATGAGTTCCCTGATCTTGTGTGTGGACTTTACATAAAAATGTTAAGTTGGTATAAACATCTCTAAACATTTACTCTTCATTTCTATAATTATCTCATTTCAGACTGGCAACAAATAGTTTGTGAACCAGCAGCAGGTCATGGATTATGCTTTGAAGGATACTGATCTAGATGACTGTTCCTGTCTCCAGTGGGAACTTGATTTAGGGTCTACTATCTTCTGCTTTGTGTTCCTCAGGGTTGACTCTCTGGATGGTTGGCTTGCACTTATACTTAAGGAAGATTATTTACATATTTACAGGAATTCTGTCAATTTTGCTTTTATATATTTTATATATTACTATAAATTCATATTTAAATGTATTCTATAAAATTTTAGTTGGGCTTTATTCTTTATTTAACTTCTAGAAATGTGGGTTTCCCCCAGGTTCATATTTGTACAAACTGATTAATCACACGGTGAACTAACATTATTTACTTCCCAGGCTTGAGAACTTTATGGATGAGGTACAGACAGGTTAGAACCTATTCATGTTGATTCACAGCTAGAGTTCCTTTACTCCTTCCCAGGAAGTATAGCACAGGCAAAGACCATGCCTCTGTAAGTAGCCAGTACACAGTTCATTCTACTTGTGAGAGTCTAAGTACTGGACTATTTTTAATGCCAGTGGAGTGGAATTGGGCATCAGTTTCTGGATGATTTCAGTCTTGCCATAGTCCCAAATTCTTTATTTTATTTTTTTATTTTTGAGTTGGAGTCTCACTCTGTTGTTCAGGCTGGAGGGCAGTGACACGCTTCTGGCCAACACAGCCTCAACCTGCTGGGCTCCAGTGATCCTTCCGCCTCGGCCTTCCAAGTAACTGGAACTACAAGCACGTGCCACCATATCTGGC